GGGGCGGGGGCGCGGCAGGGGTGGGTGCAGGGGGCTGAGGCGGAGCTGGAGGCTGCGGTGGGGCAGGGGGCGCAGCCTGGGGTGGCGGTGGGGCCAGGGGCGGCTCGCTGAGAACCGGAGGCTGGCTGGCCGGACCGCTCAGGGTGCGCAGACAGGCCTCGCTCAGCTCGTGCGCCTTGGGGTGGCTCCCAGCATTTGCAGGCGACTGGAGTGAACAGGCGGGTCGGTGGTACTCGCCATCGGCGCCCAACGCTGTGGATGCCGGGTACGGCTGCTGATTGGCATTATAACCGAACCCGTTGGCTGCCTGGTAAGGGTAGCCACCGTAGATCGCCGAACTGTCGTAGTAGGTCGCTTTTTGCATCGCGTTGTTTCACGATCTTGATCGCACACTCTGACAGGGGCTTGACACCCGTGAGGGCGCACATTGGCACGCCCCCGCGGTCACGTGACACTCCGCAGCCAATGGCCGCCCCGCGCAGACCTGGGGGCGAGAATCGCAGCGCCGTGAGGGCTCCGCGCAAATCCATCTTACTCTCAATAGCTAAGTGACATGAAAGCCATAAAAGAAAAAGTGGTCAGCAATATTTAGCAGCACGACTTGGCCCCGGGCGCAGAGAGCCGCGCTATAAAAAGCCGCTGGAATTTACTGGCAGCTACAAATATTTGCTTAACTTGCGTCTGGAGTTGGGGGGTTTTCTAGGGAGAGAGGAGGAGAGAGAGAGGTCGGGAAGCCGGGGCTGGAGTTCAAAAGGAGAAAGGCCTGATGGGCTAGAAAGGAACAGCATCTGAATCCCTTATTTTCCAGGGAAGAAGAAACTTGGGGTCTCCGCTCCTTGCATTCCTCCCTTCTGGAGATCATGGGGAGGGGCAAAGGAGAGTTTGGGTCGCCAACTTTTCCTCCAGTATTCTCTTTAGGACTAATATTTGCCAAAAGAACCATGACGCGGGGTGACTTCCCATCCCGGCCCTTCTTGGACTTTCCAGCACCCAAGAGAGGTACGCGCAAAATCTTTTCAGGCAATAGCTCTACTGGACCCTTGTTGATTTCAGAAGCTGAGCTTGTTAGACAATTAATCTACCCTTGTGTAAGGATATGACCCACCTCCTCCTAATGAGACCTCTGTGGTCAAAAAGGGGAGAGAAAACGCTGGATGGAATATTCTGGGTGGGAAGAGACAGACAAGACCCTCTCCAGAAAGTCAAACTCAAATCTTGGAACAGTTCTTTACTCCTCCCTCTATTTCTCAGGCAGGTCCTAGCAGCCACTCCCACCTCTTTCCCCCTGTTACAGAAGTCCCCAGAGCCTCCTGCCTTGGACTTTCTGAGGTCCTGTTATTCAGGACAACTATCAAATTCTACCTGTTAAAACATGATGGATTAGAGAGAGAAAAAAAAAACCATCAGGAACCTGAAAAACCAGCGTCATCTCCATGACCACCGCTTGAACTCTCCTTCCAACTTAACGATAATAGGTTCTGTCTTAGAAACTGCTATGTAATTTGATGTATGGGGGTCATTTGGCTCCGGACGAGGGATAGAAGCACAAGCCATAAAATCCTGCCAGAGTTCTCTGATCTTTGTGTGATGTTGTTGTTGTTGTTGTTGTTATGTGCTACCTGCCCTATTTACCTGCTTCAGAAATACAAAGTAAAGGACAAACCTGGACATCTAAAATCAACTGAAAGCCTTCTCAATCCCTTTTCATTTAGAAAGCATGTTGTAAAAGTGAAATCTATGTTTTATGTTTTTACCTTTGTATGGTCAACCTCTGGCTCTCAGCTCAGAAAACTTTCATGTGAGTTCATATAGTCACCCTCCCACCACGCAATCAGAATGTTAGTCTCTCTGACCATTTAAGAAAATTACAATAATAAATTCATGAAGAAAAGGGTTTACACTTCATACCTCAACTATGTGTATTTGTGCCCTGAAGTTATTCAAGATTTCCAGAAATAGCAGACCCTTTGTTAACTAGAAAAAAATTAGTGTAATAAACATCTACCAGTGAATGATTATAATTTTGGTTTTAATAATAAGACTTTTGGATTTCATTATTAAACCAACAATCTGACCAACATCTGGAAAACAAGCACAATAATTTTCCAGAACCACAATTAAAAATTACAGCATCCCTTATCCGGAGTTATTGTATGTGATCTTGAGCCTGTACGGTTTCTCTTTTGGAAATAGATAGGAAGCTACAGATCCCATGATCAAAAGTAAATAAAGGATAAAATAAAATTTAAAACAGAATAGCAGTTTAATGTCTCTGTTTCCTGTTCTTTCACTGAAAATAGTTCCAATTACATTTGGCAGTGTTAATGTCTGCCATTATAAATTTTTAAGATACTGGGCTTGTATCTCTTTGTAAAATAAAACGTCAGGTTAAGAAAATTACTCCAGACACTTGAACAGCAAAATATTAGATAAAACAAAATTAAGCTGATCTTGAACATGCAATATTTCAAGTGACTTGCTAATCCATTATCAAAGGCTACACCCGCCTGCGGCTTAAGTCTTTTCATCAAGTTATTCATTGCCTTGTAAAATAATTTAAAATACCTTTAAACCTCTAAGAGCAAACAACAAACTCCATAATCTTAAAATGTGAACTCACCCACCAAAGCCCTTCCTATTGTTTGAGGTCAGCAGATAACCACGGTGGGGCCCACACAATCCACAAACCTCCTCTCTACCCCAACCCAGCCCCCAAAGTTTGCAACCTGGTAAAGAAGTTGGAGATTTGCCAGCTAGGAAACTTTGCTTTGCACCCCCAAGCAAAGGTTGGGGATGGGAGGAGATTCCTCTGAAAAGCTCCATTTCTGGAGAATAACCCCCAGGTGCACGAACTGAAAGAGTTGAGGAAGCTAAACTGACTGCAGGAAGCAAGCCCTATTGTCTCTCTGGAAGATCTGCCCAAATTCAACCTCCTTCCTTCAGACACCGCTCTCTTTTTCCACTCCCGCCCCTTCCTCGGCCTGCCCTCACCCCGAGTTCAAGCGGGAACGGCGGGTAAGAGACCCCGCGTCCCCTCGCCCACCCCTTCCTCTCCTTCCTAACCCCGAAAAGTTGAGGCTGGGCTTTCGAGAGGGAAGAGGTGGGGGCGGGGATGGGAAAGCGGCCTGAACTCGAAGTGTAAGGGTATCAGTCACTGCCGGGAAGGAAGCTCCGGCTTGTGAACTCTTCTTGAACCGAGATTTAAGTCTGCAGCCATAAATCACCGAGACGTAAACTCCACCATTCAGCGCTGAGCGCGGCCGGTTGGAGCCCTGCTTACCTTAACTTCTGATGAGCTCGGGCTCGGGCGCAGGCTCGGGCTCCGGCCCCCGGCCCGGCTCGGCGGCCCGGCCGGGTCCCCTCCGCGCGGGATGGGCACCGACCCTCAGCATCGGCCGAGACGGCGGGCGGGAGGGAGACCCCGAGGCCCGGACGTCGCGGTGCAGAGCGTGGCCGCCTCGCTGCTCCGGCACGGCTAGCCCAGGGCGGACTGGGGCGGCTCGGACCCCCCCTCCCACCCACCCCACCCACCCTCCCCTCCCCCACACCCCCGCCCCCTGCCCTTCCCGAGGGCAGCAGCCGCGGCCCGGAGATAAGAGCTAGCGCGGCGTGGGGCTCTGCCTGGGCTAGTGGCACCGACTTGGGTATGTTTCTTATGAATATTACACGCGGAGCAGCGTCTGGTCGGGGGGTGCGGTGGGGGTGCTGGGGGCGGGCGGGAAGGGAGGCCGAGGCGGCCGGGTAGGGGGGGTGGGTGGGACGCCGCCGGCGTGGGGGATGGGGCGGAGGCGAGCGAGAAGGGGAGCTCGGCGGCGGGGGGTGGGGGGGTGGGGGGTAGGGCAGTCTCCCCCCAACCCCCAACGCCCTCCCTCTCCCCACTCCTAAGCGTCACTAAAGTCCAGGAAAATTATGCTAATGAGGACAAACTGCTCTCACAAAGGGGCTCTCTTGCTGGGCTCTATTTCTTAGGAATCCGTTTGAGAAACTACCTTACCCCGTGCTCTGAACATTTGCAGTTGCGGGGCAAAGGGAAGAGAACCAGGAGAAGAGAGTTCCCCAGACTTTGGGCAGTTTACCTTACCTGCCACCCCCGAGCTGAGAACCTCAAAGCCAGTCTCTGGGGGCTGGGACAGGGCCTCCTTTCTTGGGAGTCCTCCCCCAGAGCCGACTGGGCTCTCTTTGGTTGCATTTTTTTAGGTGGAAATCCTTGAAATCCTGGCAGCCGGGAGGGAGGTAGCCTGGGGGAGATACGGTTTGTCCAGGCAGTGAAACGGGCCGCTCTGGGTTCAGGTACGCACAAAGGTGTTAGAATTCTAGGTGTTCAACCCTTCTGTACCCATTTCACAGTACAAACGCGGCTCACTCTCGGGCTAAGACAGATAGCTCCGACCCCAATAGGAAACCGCGTCTATATTTTTTGCCCTAATTAGTGGCAGATAGGGACGCTGAGCAGAGGAAAGGCCGAATATGCCCAGCAATATTGCCAAAACTTTAAGGAGGATAGTCTTTCTCCCTCCTAATGGCTCCCTCAACTTCCCAGATTCGGAAGTGAACTCTGTAAGGATATGTGTGTGGCAAAAGAGAGAAATAGTGCGTTCGTGCAATTCCAAGGTGTCAACGGCCGGTCCTTCTCAAAAGAAGGTGTTAAAAATATAAGTAGTATGTTTAAACTGTCAGGGAGCCAAAGTGTCACCTTAGAGCAAAAACAAAGCCAAGGGAAAGGGAGAAATCAAAAAGCACTCCGGGCCAGGGTGGCCTCATGCATACCAATGGTTTTTGTCATTTATGGCTGGGCAAGATTTATGACTCGGCGCCCCAAAGCTGTAAACAGAGCACAAAACAGCAAACACTTGCTCCTTATGGCATACTGCTGCAGCGCGACTTGAAAGGGGGAGCGAGGCAGCGTAGGAGGCAAGAGCCTGCCGCAAAAATCCGCTCGGCGGCATTTTCTCTTCAAACCGGCTGGGTCGGATGTAGCATTTGAAGAAAGAAGGCGTGGGTCAATAATCAACCCGCACTTTCTCCTCCAAACTGCTGACGCGACTCACCGCCTTCTCAGCTAAGCCAGCTGCCGGGAAGGCCCGCTCTCCGTGAGAACCTGCCAGGGGAGGGGACGGCCCAGGGCGCCGAGGTGAGGGCTGGGGCACCCGGGACGCATACCTTTCCGCCGGCGCCCAGAGGGGCCGGGAGCCGCCAAGCAGGGAGCCCAGGGAAAGACAGGGCGGGAGCTTGGGCCAGGACCTCCTCTGGGCAGCGGGCAGAAGTGGGGCTCGGACCTCAAGACTAGGGTCTGGAGACCTGGCACGCAGATTGCCGGGGCCCAGGCCTCTCTGCTAAAATCCAAAGGACTGACCTTTGGAGCCAGGCGGGCGAGTTGATTAAAAATAATAATGTATAATAGCTGAAGGATTTTTGTTTGTTACTGCTTTTTAAAAGGAAAATATCGCCTGTCGATTTCCGCCCCTACTCAAGCGCCCTAAGTAAATCGCACAGCCATTCACCCGCCTCAGCCAAAACCACTGAGGTTCTCTCTGGGGAGAGGACCCCTTGGCTCCACCAGTGCTCTTACGCCCTGTTCCCTGCCCCCACCTCTCACCCATGAAGACTAGAAGAAAACATATTTTCAGCACTAGAAGAGTGTCTGGAACATCAGAAGTGCCTGGTGCCTTCCTATCCTTTACAGGAGTATCTTTATGAACTTATCTGTGAGAGCCTGTGGGTGGCTGAGCAGCCAGGGAGGAAGGTGGGGGATAACTGTTGGCTAGAAGAGGCACAGAAATCCCAGACTGGGGAAGATATCAATGAGGAAATAAGCTTGCTTCTGAGGGTGAGGTTGGCATTTTGAGGGTAAAGGGGGAGACTAGCCTTTATTTTTTTAATGGCTGTAGGTTAGCTATGATGGAGAGGCTCTGGCTCTTTCCATGGGGGAAAAACCAACCAGTTCTCTATGAACACCTCTATTGGCTTCTGTCTGTGTGCACTTTTATACAGAACCAGCTTGGGAGTCCATCCTTAGATATTTATTCTGTTTGCTGGCACTGAAGCGACAATAAAAAGATGCGTTTATCAAACCTCTATTCCTTCTCTCATTCTTTCTAGTGAAACTATATTATTTATGAGTCTTTAACTGGGTCAAAAATGCGCCAGAACTGGGTCATAAATCATATGAAATGCTGACAAGTAATTGAACAGCAATTAAAGCTTACATTTTATTTCCAAGGGGTGTTTTAGAGCACTTGAAATGGCCTCAGTTAAACACGGTTAGTGCCTGGGCCAGTAGCGGGGAGGGCTGAAGCAGCCCTTCTGTCTGGGGAAGTAAATCTCACTCAAGTAGGGGAAATCTGATTTGATTTCTTTTTTCCCCCCCAGTGCAGAAAAGTTTTTTTTTGTCTGTTTGCTTTTTTAAGTCAGGAGTCAGATCCGATTCCCAGCTGCTTTGTAGGCATCCCTTTTCTCTGCTCCAAGAACTTCAAGAGCAGAGGAAAGTGAAGTTTCCCTCACCTTTTTAGGGAGTTTCCATCCTTCCTATGGGGTCCCTAAAGCCCAATTAGCTCGGGCTTTCCCAGTAATTTGGAAGCATACTATTTAACTCCCATCTGCCCCCATTCTGACTACAGCACCGCTCCTGGGACTCTGAAGATGTCTGCCTCTGCTTTCTGCAGACTTTGCTTTCAGACTTCCCTCCAGCCCAGGGCACACCGGCCAGTTCTCCAACTGTCCTAGCCAGCTGGGGGTGAAACAGGGGGCGCCCCAGCCTTGTGTCTTACGAAGCTCAGCTAGCTCCAGCTCCCTCCTTTCTGTCTCCTGAATGTTAGAATAACAGAGCTTCTGGGCATTCAGCATGCTTGCCCCCAGCCCAAGCCTCTCCTAGATTTGAGCTGTCCTTCTCCACCCCTGCTCAGGCAGAGAGTACTCAGGCAAACAATGGCTAGTCCTCAGGGTCTGGCTCCTTCAGTCTGGCAAGTGGGGAAGCGCGTGCAACCACCTAGCACTGAACAAAGTGGCCCGAAGCATCATCAATAAAATGGCAGCGCATCTGGACACTCATTGATTTCTCTCTCCCAGCTGCTCTGGCTGTCCAGGTCAGCCTTCACCCTCCATCCTAGCCAGCAAACACGGCTGAACAGGGAGCAATTCCCCTTCTCCTTCACTCAGCGCCCACCCTCTCCAGGCAGTTCCATCCAGCGAGCTGTGAGCTGCGCTCGGGCCACCTTGGCTGGAGCCGGCCGTGCTCCAGGACTCGCGTCCGCCAGGGGCTCAGCTTCTGGGACTCAATTCCCGCTGCAGTGGACAAAGCCACTCGAATGTTGGAGGCCACCGGGCCCACCTAGTAGCCCCCAAATGCCCTTTCCTTCACACCCCCCAACACTTGCCAGGGAATTAAATTCAGCCTGAGGCGCCACTGGGGATCTCTCAAATGCTTTCGATTCTAAGGGAGAAACAAAGGACGAGAGGCGCTGAGGGTCCTGTCCACGAACCAGGGTCTCCTCGCCTGACCTTTGTCTCTCTCACAGCCATAACTCACTCTAGATATGAACAATCAACAGAAATACCTTAAAATAAATGCCATTCTCCCGGTGTGGCCTGGAGTCCCATCGGCTAGCTCGCCCAGAACCGCTCCATGAGCACTGAAAACTGCAACCCGCTAGGAGAGCGCTCTCCGGAGAAGGGGAAGAAGGAGGAGGTGGGTGCGTGGGGGTGGGGGGAAAGCTCTCGCTCTGTAGAGAATCTAGAAAACGTAATCACAGGCAAAGCCCGTCTGGGTCTCCGCTCCAAATGCCACAATAATGCGCTGTATTATGTGCTCACGTGGTCATACGTCAACTTAAATCCTTTTATTTGAAATAGGGAATCACTGAAGGAACTAGGTTTCCAATCAGAACATTTAGCTTTCAGGGAGGTGAACTGGGGGACCTTGGCCAGCAATGGGGAAGTTTTATCCAGGACAGTAGGACACTGGGGGCATCCCCCCCCCCATCCCAACACGTGTTACACAAGGCCACTTAGCACCATTTACATTTCTACACACAAGTCAACACAAGGGAACAGCAGTTCTATTCCCATTCTCATAGTTCGCAGAACTTTCCTTACAGTCTCCCACTCACACACAAGCTGAACCCAAAATGCCCAAGCTCTCCAGTCTCCCCTGGCCAACTGGCCAGTACATCAAAAGGCAAAAGGTGCTGGCCCTGTTTCCAGAAGAAAACCCAGTACTGACTGGCCTAGTCAGTGGACTCCCTAATGGCCTGCCATTGTATGGAGTTTGCTAACACCCACACCATACACCACAGCCACTGGAGAAACCCAAAAGACCCATAATTACCTGACAAAAGACCGAAGCACCTCCTCCAAGTCCAGCTGGTTTTGTTTGATGGGATCCCCCTACAAGAGAGATGCTTGGCTCTAGAGTGGTGGGTCAGGGTTTGCAAAATCTGGAGGGCCCAAGTGTCCTGGCCAAATCTGCACTTACACATTTCCTTAGTGCATAGCTGAGTGATACATGAAATTATAGGCTTCTAATGATGAAAAATGTAAGGGGAAATGATCTAATTGTCTCTGCAAGAGAGGGGAAAAAAAAAGAACCAATGTTTGCTGGCATCCCTTGAATTAACCTACAAGACAATCTAAGACCCTCTCTGCAGATAAGTGTGTCCACTCTCCTACAAGACAACCCTGTGTCCACCATGAGAAACTGAACAGGACCAACTCTGCTCACGAGGAACCTGGCATTCCCCCTCCTCATCCCACTCCAACTCCTGCCTTCTGCTTGGGGACTCTGTCCACGACTTCAACACTTCATGTTCTCAGAAGCCATCGAAAAACTCCCTCTTTTCAGGTCTTTGTTTCTAAGCTGGGGTTATGCTCTGAGGTGGTAAGATCCTCCTGCCATATTCTTTTGTTCCTTGAGAGTGGGTCTTTAGCTGGCTATGACTCTCTAAGCATGAGGGCTCACTTACTTGTAGCAGCTGTAGAAAGCTGTGCATGGTTCCTTCCCTCCCCTTCTCCCCTGCAGAGGGACAGAAGGGGCCTGGTGAGAAACTAAGGCCCTCAGCAGAGGCCTGGTCATGGGGGTGTCCAAATGAGAAAGGCAATAAAAGAGGAGGAGACCTAATTCCTTGGAAGTAAGTCCCGGCCTAAGCTGGATAAGGTTCTGTCTACAGAATAGCTGGGAGAGAACCTTTATGTGAACCTTCCCAGCTCTGACCTAAGTCACAAGCTACAAGGAGAGAACCTTTATGTGAACCTTCCCAGCTCTGACCTAAGTCACAAGCTACAAAGTGAGAACCCAAAGTGAAAACCAGCTTTTCTCAGGTTTGGGGGGTAGGGGACAGGACCAAAGGCTGTTTTCAAAAGCACTCTCTGGTTTCCCAATGACTCAGATAACTAATACACTGTCAGACTCCCCTTACTCCATCCATCCGTATAATTTCACCCCGAGCTCTCCAGATAGCCTGGCAAACTCCCTTGCTTGCCAACTAAAGTTTCTGCAGAGGCTTCAACTCAAAAATGAGAAGAGGCCCCCTTTAGAACTCTCAGAGCAGTCTGGAGCAAACGGAAACTCCCGAGGCCATAAATCAATGGGAGAAGTCTTTGGTCCTGCTTCAGAGAAATGCCTTAACGCCAGCAAGGCCCAGCAGCATCTCAGCTTCAACTAGGAGCCTCTATACCTCTATTAACAATCCAGTTAATGCTTCAACTGCTGTTTAACAATTAACATTAACGACTTGGGGTGGGATGGGGTGATTGGGTGGGATGTGAAGGGAAAAATCTGAACAAGTCAAAGGAAGTGTAACTTTTGAAGTGAAAATGGCTTCCTTAAGAGAGATCTTGGTCTGGGCAAGCCCCCAGGGAACCAGCAGCTGAGAGTCCTCCTTCACCACTCTGAAACCCACTTTCCTGTAGTAAGGTTATGGGCCTTTTATGGTTCGGTTTTGTTCCAGAGAACAAGAATAGAGATGCTCAAGTATCTAGGCCCAAGTTGGGCAACCCAGATGCCAATTCCCCCTTTACTGACTCCTCCACTCAACCTGGCCAGGGCTCGGACACATGCCCTAGATCCATGCAGTGGAGCCAAAATAGCACAAAGTTGTCTTAGAAGGAGCAAGTGACCAAGGATACAGAGCTTTAGTCAATATTTGCAAGGCTGTTGGCAGATTAGCTATATCTGTATTCAAACACTGTAATCTAATTTCTCTGTCAAAAATACACTTAACATTTTTCTCCCTTTACTTAACTGTAGTGGTTTTTTCTATTCAGTGTCAGGTAAGGCCCTTAGCCCACTGTGTATGTGGGGGGCAGGGGGAGGTTATAGATCATTATTTAACATGAGATATTTCCTGTGGGTGCAACTACAGTACAAATGGGCTCCAAGTTCTCTTGGATGTGTGTATCATTTTATACACATGGCCACAGACCTCTGCAACTATTTACACATGCGGTGGTTCTGTTACGTTCCGAAATGCAAATCCTAAGTACACCTGAGTTACAAATTTCTGAAATGCTCAATCTATACTTGGGATAAATAAACATACAGTAGCTGAGAAAGTGCCAGCTTTACTATTACCCTGTTTACTTCCTATCTGATAAAGTAATAATTGTATCCAGAACACCTTATCAGCCCCAGAGCATCACTGAATAGTGTTTCAATTAATTAACAACCTGATATCCATTGTAGGAGCAGATTTTGGGGAAGACTGAGGCCTAGAGAATAGAAGATTTAAAAAAAAACCTCAGAAAACTTTTTAAAACAAATAATTCCTGAAAGAACAAAGCAAATCCATTCCTTCATCCCACGTTTTTGAAAGCTATTCCAGCGGCCCCTCCCCCAAATAGGCATGAAATTTATGGATCTTTTACAAGGTAATAAACCACAGTAATTACCTCCCTGCATCCCAAACTAAGAGAACAAATTAAGCCAGAACTTGGAAAGAATTTTAAAGAGTTTTCTCTTGTTCTAAATAGGAAAAGAAAACGCCGAGACACAGAAAACCCGTGCTTTTCCCACAGGAAGATCAGTGGATCAGTCCGCTAAAGAAACCGAGAAGCCCAGCTGCCAACGATGGTCTACACATTTGAAATACAGCAACTTCCCTCTTGCCAAGGGAAGGCAAAACGATAGGAGTAACTGCAAGGCGGCGAGGTACGTTTTCTGCGCACAGAGCTGAGGCTGACCACAACGGCAGAACTCCCAGGCTTCGCAAACTGTCCACAAGGAGCGCGGCCCACGCGGCGGCCACCGCGCCCGTGGCCTCTACTGGCTTTGGCCCTGCTGTTCCGTGGAGCGGTTCGGTTCGTCTGAGGCACGCCCGAAGGAAAACACACACCCTTCTGAGCCCCTCACCCGCCCCCGCCCCCCAGGAACACACAGTTCTGGTTTCTGCAACCGCCCCTCCGGCACGAAGCCGGTCTGGGGCAGAGCTCTGTCGCCGAAGCCCTCGCTGGCGGGGCGCAGCTGAGGGGAACTCCTCCGAAGTTATATATTGACCAGCACCTCTTTCAATACTGACCAGCTGCAAGGGGTGGCAGCTGCCAGGGAAAGTAAACTCCTTCACCGGTGCTAGGGCCGACGCGGTGAAGAGTTGGGACGCAGCGCGCTTACCTCGAAAGATGTCCAAGGCTGAAGCCGAGTGTGTCTCCAGCTCTGGGCGCTCAGGGACTCCCCGTTTCCGGCATCCGGTGGCTCTGCGGACAAACAAACAGCAGAGGGTGAACGGCGGCCGAGGAAGAAGGGAGTTGGAGGAGCAGAGTTGGAGGCGCCGGCGGTGCGGGTGCCGGGGTGACCCCCGGGGTGACGCGGACACGGAGGAGTCGCCAGGACACTCGTCCATGTGGTGCACTCATTGCTCGAAAGGTTCCGGTCTACAAATGGCCTGAAGATGGTGATTTATTTTTGTAAAATAAATACATACTCCATCTCCGCACCCACACTTTTTATTTTTTTCTTTCTTTCTTTTTATTGGGGGGGAGGGTGGACCAGGCAGAGGAAGACGGGAAGGTGGAAGAGGCTTTCTGTTGGTGCCCTCACTCTGCATGGAGAGCTGCTCTCGCACCTAAACTTGGGAGTGTGAATGCACGCTTTATTTTCTTCTGCTAACAAAGGGAAGGCTTGCCTGGGAGCATTCAATCACGGGCTCTCCTGAAACCTCACTAATAGTGTTCATTTCTGTTTGGCGCGAAATCAGACTCTGGCTCAGTCCAGGAGCCAGGGGCAGTGTTGGAAGGTTTTGTCTTCTGGTTCATTAAAGCCCTGGGGCGCCCTCTCAGTCCCAGTGGGCTGGTGGGATTACCACAGCGCCCAGTCCCTCTGAGTAGGCTAGCTATGGTTGCTGAAAGTGGGGAAAGTTGGGGAGGATGCAGGTATTAGCCAATAAATACCCCATCTGGGGACCCTATCCAGCCTCCCTTTGCACAGCAGCGGCCAGTCCCTCCAGGCCCTAACTCTGCTGCTGCCGCCTCCCTCCAGATATTTGCAGCTCTCTCTTGCTCTCTAACTGGCAAAGACGACACTGAGGAGGGGCAAAGAATCCTCCTGGGTGCTGGGTCCCTGGCTTAGGGAAATTCTCCGCTGGGCTGGGATTCTGAGGTCCAGTTGCTTCCATAGCCCTGTTCCTGCCCCACTATCCTTTCACCCACGTCATGGCAGCCTCCTCCTCACACTCCAGCCTGCCCAAATCAGCCCCAGTGGCTGTCCTGCATCCATGCAATCCTGCTAAGGGTGCCAAAAGGGGCTACCAAATAGCCGACGAGTCCCCTGAACTAGGCTTCATGAATCCCTAATATACTGAACAAGTGGCTGCACACCAGCCCCTAGCTGCTCTCTGCCACCACCTCGACCTGCAGCCCCCAGTGTCCATCAAGCACTTGGAACTCCGAATCCATGCTGGGCCCCTTTCCTCTATTCAAACTTGTTCTCTGTGTCCCCAAAGGGAGTGCCCCCTGGCCTTGGGGACAGTGGCCTGACCCTAAGCAAGGTGGGGCTTAGCTACCCTGCAGTTGCCACTCAACATAGTCCCAGAAAGATCAACTATACCGCCATCCACCGCCACCCACCCACTCACCCCCTGACTCTTAGGAGCATTGTAATTATTATGGTTATTATTATTGTTGCTGTTTCCTTATCCCCAAGTCAAATATTCATGGCTGCTGTTCCACCATAAATCGTTCAGACTAATGAGTCACAAAGAGACGCTGCCCAGGTCTCTCCCCTGCAATGGCTGCCACTGCCGCCGCCGCCGCGGCCTCTCTCTCTGGCGTTTTTGGCGCTCGCTTGCTCCCTCGCTCGCCGGGCGCGGGTGATTTATGAACACCGGGAAAATTGAACAAAGCCGCGCGCCCGTCCTGTGGTATCTCTGCAGCCTTCCCCAGTGTGAATCAGAACATTACCAACTGTCTGAGCATCAGTCCCACTTCATCACAAAAGCCAAGATGTGACCGCAGAAATCCCGAAACCGAACTCACGTTTCCCTGGTCGCGCAGCGCTCCCCAGACTCGCAGAAACCCTACGGGAAAAGCCCACGACCCAGTGTGGGTCGGCCAGCTCCGGGTCCTGCCCGCTGACGGGCTCTCTCCACCCCTCCTGCAGCAGTTAAAAAGCTTTTGGATATAAATCTGACGGTGTGTGTTTTTAAAAATCAAATAGGAATTTGGGGGACTCACTTCTGAGATTCATTCCTAGTGAGGCCCTGACGACTCCGATCCATTCCTGACGATCCACATTAATTATTTAATGAGCCACGTGACCACAAAGATTACAATTTCAATATCTCCCTGGAACAGGCGCTACACCTTTATCTGCTGTAACCAGGGTCCTTGTTTGGCTTTTTTAGTTCCTAGGCCTCCAGAACCCAGACGCCCTTGACGGGCTCCGAGGCAGCACCATCTACAGAAATCTCAGGACTAGCATACTAGAAATAGTCATTCCAGGACTAGGAGAATTGTGGACAGTCAGATGCCCTGACATCCGTTCCCTCCTGAGTCCAGAGGTCAACCCACCTGTCTTAGCACACTGGCTACAGCAGTTTGGTTACATAATTTCCCCAACTGCTTTGATGGCTCATCAGGCAAGAAGCCACCCTTCTTCCCTGGCCCTGGACACCTGAGGCCCTCCCCTCAGTTTCAAGTGAAGCCCAGATGCACATGTCCATTCCAGGCAGAAGAGGCTTCTGCAGAGACAAGATGTCTGTACACTCACCCATCCAAGATGAGACCAGACTCTATTCAAGCTACATAAGGATTAACATAAAGAACATAAAAGGGAAGCATTCAGCTGCCTCAGTTTCCTTATTGGTAAACTGAGAAGACTGAACCAAAATGGCATCCAGATCTCTTTCGCCTTGGACATTCTTTCAATCAAGGAATCTCTTTTAGCCCCAGGAATCAATCACAGAGAGAGTAGGGCTGGCCTGAAAGTGGGGGTAGGGAGAGTGGTTATTCCTGGAGTTTGGGGCCTCCGGAAGAAGAGATGCCAGAGTTCCAAGGCTGAAGTTTCAGGCTAAAATGCTTTGCAGCAGCCCCTGCAGCCTCCCTGCTACTGTCAAGAAGTCAAAACACTCTCTCTTCCTTCTCCTTCCCAGCCCATACTCTTTGAGAAAGGAAGAATTATTAGTCTCAGGCTGATGTACAGTACATAGAAGGGGCAACAAGAGCAGCTGCTGGGAAAGGTGAGACTGAGTTCTTCCATACCTGACGGCAGCTGGGGATGCAGAGACTAAGGAAGTACAAAGAACAGCCTATTGCCCCACAGAACCAACTCATCCACACCGGAAGTCCCAGGTTTCTCTTTGCTACATAGATTCTTCGGGGTTTTCTTTCTTTCCATTTCAAAGAGCCTGTTTCTATGTTGAAAGGGTGGTAGGACAGGCAGTGGTGAGAAAAGCAACACAGTTTGGAAGCTCAGGGAATGGAAAGGGATAGAGGGAGAGTGATACCCACTCCAAGGGGAGGAAGCTGAGAGGTGGGGGGAATGTGGGCATCCTGGGACAGCTGAATATAAAGTCAGAGATGCTGTCTGGAGGGCCCACTCACCATATATCTAGGTAATCTTCCCAGGAGCTCCATCCTGGGTATTAAGTACTCTACTATGCCTGTCACAGTTGAATTCCTGCTGTAATAAAACACCAGGTATATCGTAGATTTCAGCAAAACTAGGAAAGAGAGCCTGCAAAGTGCCATTTTTCTTCAGGGGGGATAGTGTTAAGTACTTAATTCAAACTGTGACCATTAAAGTGTCTCCAATCCGATTTAGGTTGATTTCAGATGTTGACAAAACTTTTATCTCAGGAGTCATGCACAGTGTGGCTCTGTGACTAAAACTGATGAGCATGTGTGTTAGAGGGAAGGAGGGGGAAAGAGAAAAAGAAGAAGGGAGCATGTTTAAGGGTCATTTTGGTATGAGACTTACAGAGCTTACACAAAATACTGTCTTTAACGGTCAAGGGTTTGTGGGGCCCATAGGGTTCACTTAAAAAAAAAAAAACATTTAATGAGATAGAAAATTTGTCCTCTGGGTGAACTCTTATGGTTGCCCTAGCAAGGGGCAGACAATGCAGGATTTTGAAACACAAAGTGGGATTTTCCAAGCTGTTATAACAAGCTCCCTTAAAGACCAAATCTGAAGCAGGTAAATCATTTGAAGAAATGACATAATCATTGTGGGTAATTTTGGCTTTGTAAACCTTACCAATACCTTAATAATCAAGACAGCTTGGGCAAAAACTGACATTCGGTCAAGGAGTATTAGAAAAATAATCTTGATCTTCTCTCTTTTCTTGGATAGATTAAGAAAATCTCCTTCCACCCCCAAACAAGTGCCTCCTTATGAAGTTAATGAATGCCCCCGTATCCCTCCTTTCCTACCAAGGAGAAATATAAGAATTTACCTTAAATGATGATAATCTGCCAATTGAGGTTTTGCAGCTCGACACTCAATTTCCACCAAGAGTCTAGGCATTTTTTGAGCAGACAGCCAAGATGCTGAGTCTTTGCCCGAGACCACATTATTTGCAAGAAGATCCCTCGCTTCTCCACAGACTTTTCCCAGAGAATGCCTTTCAGAATTGCTGTTGAATTACAAAGAAGTATTTATTGTATGAGGTGATTAATGATTCCTGGGAAAATTGCTATTTTCAGCATGATTTAATTTCGTTTTACAAGTGCATGTAGTAGGGGGAGGGTTAATAAGTTTTAGCGGTAGTTGCAGGGCTTCCAGAGCTCCCTGGCACCCGTTCACTGATCACACCTTATAAAATGCACTTTATGCCAGGTTTGGCCTGACTTGGGAAGGAATGTATTTGTTTGCTCCTGAATTTTCCTGGGGAGAGAAGGAGGCCTCTCAGAGACTGGTGTCCACTTTCCTCTAAGATCTGGTTTGTTCCCAGGTAGAAAACGGATCACCCTTGCCTGTGGCACACAGACCAGTTGAGGAGGAAGGTCTAACAGCACTGACCACTGGCTGAGGGTAATTAGCCTCTGATGGGAAAATGTGACTAAAACTCCTTTGATACTGCAGAGGTGGGTGAGACCCCTTTCCCATCTCTGTTCCTTTCCCATCTCTGCTAAAATTATTACATGAACTAAAAATCTTACTCATTCAAGGTCAGGTGATAGTTCTAATATTCTGGGACTAGGGGCTGTTGGTTTTCTCAGTCTTGTTGGAGAGTACTCCCTTCAGTGACAATCAAGTCTAAATCCTCTTTACAAATTTGTAAATCAGTAAGCAGATACTAGGGCTATAAAGATTGAGAAGTGGGGTTTGATTTCAGCCTTTTGAATCTAGAGCTCTAGGTTACACAGTAAGATCTGGGAGTATTTAAGGAAGATGTCCCTAGTTCAGAGTTTGGCTTTCTTCCAACACTTAATACTCCCAGATCTACCTTGCTTAAGGTGTCATTATTCTTTCCTCCAAAAAAACTTTGGAGGGTGTACCAGAAAAATTCAGTTTATTTTTAAAGGTCTTGCTTGGAAAAAAAAGAAACGAAAAAACAAACAAAAATCCCAAGTTGCAGTTAGTGAAGAGAACCTTAAAAACATCCAAGAGACAAAAAGCAATCTCAACTCTTTGCACAAACTATTTTTTATCTCCAGGGAAACAGGCAGATTAAGTGTGAAAGTGCAATAAATACCAAAGAGACCACTTCTTTCCAAGTGTGCTCAGAGTTCAGCATGTAGAACAGCTGCAGAAACTCGTGGGCCCGCAGCACTGCGCGGTTTCACCTTTCATTGCAGAGAAGGACACGTTTCTATGCCTTACAGAGACTTGAAGCTTGAAAGCCTGGCCAAGTTTGGGAAGAAGAGGAGCCCTCTCAGAGCTCAAGAGCTTTCCTGCTCTTTGGAACTTTTCCCACAGTGGGTCAAACTTGACAAGAGTTCAGCTCAAGTTGAACAAATTATGTGAGCAGTCAGTCCAAGTGAATGCAACCCAAACCATCTACAGGAATTTTACACGAAAGGTCAACCATTTCAATTCAGAGAACTTCTCTTTAATTAAAAGTAGGAAACACACAAATATGTCTTAGAACTTTGTTTTTTAAACAGAGTTTATTCTTAGCACATGGCTTTCTACAGAGCCACACCACAATTTGTACAGCTGCACGTGAGACTAAATGCACTCTCCCTTCCAAGATTGTGCCTCAGAATAAGACAATATCTCCATAACAATATTTTAAATAAATGAAAGGAAGGGAAACTAACATGTGTCACATCTACCATCAAGGTCTATTCATTTTTGAGAATTAAATAATCTTGTGAGGTCCACAGTGGCTACTCATTTATTCAGTTCAGTACAAGCTTTTATGAGCTGCCTTAAGGAGGGAGGGGAAGGTAAGGAAGGTAGGAAAAGGGTCTGTTTTCTTCTGCTTGCAACAAATGTACATGTCCCCAGTCAACAGGAGTTGTGCGACTGGCTTCAGCCATCTCAAAAGTATTTGATGCCAAGTGGTCCTTCTCTGGTACCCAAAGCTGGCAGCCTTGTCCAGGCCAGCAGGTTGTCCCACCAGCCAGCATCCTGGTCATTGCCTTCTCTTCCATGGCAACCAGTTCACACGCTTTCTTACCCGCAAAACAGCTTCTTTTTATTATCCTTTTCACAAGATTGAGTTTTGTTTGGGGGTCAGTCGTAGTCCAGATATGGACGGGTGGATGGGAAAAGGGGGCAGAAGAGAGGAGAAAAGCAGGTGAGGGACAGAACTGGTCTAGAGCTCTGGAAGATTACATAGAGGAAGGAGTGAGTGCGGAGGAGCCCTGGTGGGGGTGAGGATGCGGATGCGGGCTCTGAGTTTGTGGTTTTCCCGGCGGGCCTGCTGAAGCCGAGCTGGAGTTGGAGGATCGCATCTTAGTGTTGGGCAGTTTATGATCTTTCTTCCACTTCATCCTTCGGTTCTGAAACCAGATCTTGACCTGGCGCTCAGACAAGCAGAGCGTGTGGGCGATCTCGATGCGGCGACGCCGGGTCAGGTAGCGGTTAAAGTGGAACTCTTTCTCCAGCTCCAAAACCTGCTGCCGGGTGTAGGCGGTTCGGGAGCGCTTGGGCTCCCCTCCATTATAACTGGGGTTGACTGAAAGCCCATAACCCCGAAGGAGAAAGCCAAGGAGGAGGGAGTGGAGGAGAGGGAAAGGAGGAGGAAAGAGAAGGTGGGGTGGGGAAGAGCAATTGGACATCATCATTATATAATAACCTGACACCAAGTTCACGCAAGATACATAAAACGGCAAAGAAAATGTTTCACAGGCTATTGACAACGGGAAACACCCGAGAGCCATAAAGAATAGTGCTGGGCATTGGGGCTGAAGAAAAGCTTCAAAGACACATGGCCTGAAGCCTCTGCCAGGGCAATTAAATTTATGGGGGCTATAATTACTGCCCTAACAGTTTGTCGTCTCGTAAATCTCCAGATAAAGGGACCCCGGGTACAAAAGGGTTCTCACATTGGAATCAGGCGGCTGGCTGGCGCTCACACACCCACATCCCACTGTAGCTTGGGCCAGTTGGGTGCTCCCCTCCCAAGGCCCTCTTCCCCTAAGGGGCCTCTCCCCCTGACCCCCGCCCCGGCCCTGGAACCCGGCTCGGCCCCAGCCCACCATTCCGCGCCTCCCCAGCGGCGCCACGTACCGGCGCTGACATGGATCTTCTTCATCCAGGGGTACACCACGGGCTCCTTGCCCTTCAGGCCCGGCGGGCTCTTGTCTGCCAGGAGCAGCGGGCACGCGGGGGCGCTGCCCCCTGACGGGACGCCCGGGGTGGCGGGAGCCGCCTCGCAGCGCCGCGGGGGCGCGGGGGCCGCCGCACGATGCTGCGGGGGAGGAGGCGGCAGGACGTGGCTCGCGTGCAGGCCGTGCGCAGGAGCCTTGGCGTGCGCCGGGGGCTGCTCGGGCTGCGGCGGCTGCCCCGGACTGGCGCCACCGCGGTAGCCATAGGGGTAGGCGGTGTCGGCCGCCCCGTGCGCGGGGTAGAGCGCGGCCGCGGGGTAGGAGGACTCGCGGGCGGCCCGAGGCGCGTAGTAGGAGGCTGGGGGCTCGCGACTGCCGCCCGCGTGGGAGAGCTGGGGCTGCTGCTGCGGCGGCGGCAGGTGCTGGGCCGCGGGCGCTGGGGGCTGCTGATAGCCGGGGCCCCCGCCCGGGCCGCCGTCTCCGCCGCCCGGGCCGCTGTGCTGCGCGTACTCCTCGAAGGGAGGGAACTTGGGCTCGATGTAGTTGGAGTTTATCAAAAACGAGCTCATGGTCATTAATTTGTGAAGTGCAAAAATACTAATTTTTCTCGCGTTGTCGTTTTTCTGGGCTCGCCGAGGCCCCTCCCCCTCCTGCCTCGTTTCCCATCCCCCCTTCCTCCGCTCTCTTCCCCTCCCCCGCTGTCAAGCGCCCACCCCTCCCCCCCTCCGCTGTCTACGCCACCGAAGTTCGCGCCGCTCCTCCCCCCCCCCCCCCCGCGCGCGCCCTCTGTCCCGGCCGGCGCGCGTCCCAGCCGGCGCGCATCCCGCCCCGTACCTCCACGTGACCCGCCCCCGCCAATGTGCGCGCCGCGCGCGCGGACCCGGATCAGGAAGCGCGCGGACCGGTGATGGATGCAGCTGTCCCACTTCAACCGAAGGGAGGGAGCTCGCGCTTTGGTCCTCCAACCCCCCAACTTTGAGTCCCGCTGGCAATTCGGGGACCGCAGGCTTCTGGTTCTCTCGCATGCCGGGGACCGAGCCCTACGCGTGCCCTGGCCTAGGCCTCAGGGCAGCCAGGCGGCCGCGGCCCAGCGCTGACCTCGGGCCCCAGCCTAGCTTGGCTTGGAGTTCTCCAGAGTTCGAGGCCGCCTAGGGGAGGGAATGGCGTCGGGACCAAGGCGAGATGGGGTGGTATTCCGTTTTTCATCCTGGCCCCGGAATAAAACGAATGGGGCCAACAGACCAGTGTTCTCACCAACTGATTGCTTCCCCACATCGTGCTCACCGCACCCTCGCCCGTTGTACCTTGTTTGAGAAGCAGGAGCCAAAAAGGGCGGGTGGGCAAGCAGCTGAGGGAAATCGGCCCCTAGATTTGAAACAAGACTGTTTCAATAGAAGCGGATGAGCTTTTTTTTTTTCCCTTTTAGAAGCAGAATTGATTTGGTTATTTCCCTAAGAAAAACCAGAATTTCCTAATAGCGTCTCATTTGATGCAAGTGTCGATTCAGAATTAAATATGCTTGAATGTAGTAGGTGCGATTGTGAGAAAGAAAGTGGCCCAAGGGTGGGGATAGATAGAAGCGACGATGCCTTCACCAAATCCACCATCGAGAACAATTTCCTACTTCAGAACAATCTCAAAGCAAAAACAAGCTAAGGATAGCATAGGCATTGTGTCGACGGGTCTTTTCCCGCTAAGAATTTTGTTTTGTCTTCGGGTGTTGCTTTTCCGGGCTGTATCTGACGTTAAAGTTATATTTAAAGATAATCTATAATTTCTGAATTGCTGAAAATTAGCATATTAACGATGTCAGTAGCTTTGGAAAGGAGAGAGAGGGCTGTTGCCTGCCATTTGGTAATTGAAATTTGATGGGTAAACTAATTACGCCATTATTAACAAATAAATTACTTATTAATTCCACCTAATGTTGATCTTTGAAGTAAATACTGATGCCTTCCTCACAGTGTGTATTTTCCCTTTCCTTTTCTGAGTAATAGACACACCTAGATCCTCTTTTCAGCCTAGATTAAAGCAGTGCAAAGTACCATAGTCACCATTCTAAAAATACTTTCATATTGGCATGCAAAGCAAGTATTTTTCAGCTGGTGCACCTTAGTTGATTTTTCAAAGAGCAATATAAACAGCCTTCTCACAACAGTCTGGAACGCAGACAAGGAAAGTTATAGCCTAAGCCTGGAGACACTTCAAAAAGAATGTCAATTCTATCTTCATTTATATGGGTTACTCATATGAGTTACTAAATGCTGGAATATATCCATTTGATGGATAGTCTTTAATGCCTAGCCACATAAAGCCTATTATATGGGACTAATCTTTAAACTAATTTAGGAAAAGAGGTTAAAAAAGGGATCATGTTAGCTTTCTAGCTGCAGTCATCCTGAAGTGGTACAAAGAGGTTTTCCACATTTGAAGAGAGATGTCCATCGACATGGGGCATCCTAAAAATTTTTACAAATGAAACCTAAGCCACAGACAGAAATCAACACTGAGTGTAATCTTTAGACATCCTCTTTAGACTCAAGGGAAATATCTAGCCTGTGATAGAACTGCCTAAACCAATATCACTGTACCGCAAGAAAAAATAACATATACATATGTATACTATATAACATGAATAATATATACATTCATAAAGTAATTAGCAAAACTGCTCACTGAGCTTCAGGGAAGAAAAAACCTGACAAGGAAATGTTGCCTCCCTCCTCGTGTCATCAGACTAGGGTTTAACCATGTCTGTTCAATATTATTTACAGACACTAAAACACAAAATTCATGTTGTTTAGCCTCAGAACCTTCCACTCAGTTTCTATTTAAAAGTATTAAAGAGGCTCAGGCACTGTTTTGTATATGGTTAACCTAAACGAGTTAACTGCGCCTGTGTTTCGTGTGGCTCTATTCCTTTAGGAAGATGGGCTTACACAGAATCCCCCCAAGGCCTGTAACTTGTCTTTGTGGTTCCTATCATAAACACAAACGGAGCCAGGACCACCAAGTGTTATCTCCCACACCGACATTTTGACATTTTACTGCAAGATTTATGGCTGTAATAAACAATCTCAGTATCTTTTTTGATCCTTCCACAATCTCTCTTTGCAAGCCATAGCATCATTCCACTGAATGAAATAATCTTTTGAAAAAACAAACAAACAAACAAAAAAACCTCTTGCCTTCACATGAGATTCAAGACACCAACGTAAAGCCAGGAAGAAACTAACTCAATTAATAAATAAACTGAAGTTTACCGGCAGAATCTTGCCCGAAAAAAGATGGGATGCCCTGAAATCAAGCAGAGTGGGAACATGCTAATCTTCGCACACCAACTGGCTCCAGTCCCAAGCACAGTGAAAGCGTTATCCTTTTCTTGGGAAACTGGTAAGCATATTTCCTCATTTCCATGTGCAGGGATAATATATATTCCTAACCAAAGCGTTCTTAAAATCCCATTAAGTGAAATAACTTTTCATCATGTCCTCAAATCCCAACTGGAGAAGGAAAGCAAAGGGAGTCCGAGGGAAAGAGAGGGTGAGAGGGAGGCAGTGTTTTGCAGCCTAGTTTGAATTTGATTTGAATTATTTTGAATATATTTGGAACAGCCTTCCCTCTTGAATGCAACCCTGTCCCAAGTTTCAAAGTGACCGAACAGTGACACCATGTGCATTTTGTTTCTTATTAATCTTACACATTGACAGTCTTTGTTAAATCACAAGGCGCGCCCTTCACCAGCCGACATTTTCATATTTGTTAGACGCGCTGACCTGAAGTTCACCTCGGCCTTGGACTTTGCGCTTCTAAAAGGTCTATACAGTGCCTTTTAGAGAGCAGGATGCTTTGCCCAGGTCACTCCTTCTCAGGGAAAATCAAGGCGGGGGCGGGGGTGGGGGGAAGCAAAGGAAATGTAAACGTTATGGAATGTATTGACTGTATTTGTCCTTTGTTCTCTAGAGCTAGAGTCCCTCAGACTGACTGTTCGCTATCTGAAGCACGTCTCCGGAGTGCTCAAGAGAGGGACTGAATTTCAGAATGCCTGATAGTGGCATTTGAGGGCTTCCCCCCTACCTATACTCGATAGGATTTTGGAGAAGCAATACTTTATCAGCCATTTGATCAATCAGTTGTCTTGGGGTAATTTCCTTAACAGTAGTTTATACAAATGAACACAACCCAGGCGTAAGGCGTATGAAACTCATATTCAGATTAGATATA